TTTTGTTATTTATCTTTTTTTTTTTGCGATTTTACGTAATATAATTTATTTTTCGGAACTATAAAACAAGTTTGGATGCAGCTTAGTGGTATAAGGCTTAGGTTGATTTGGGTTTATGGGACTTAGTGGTATAAGGCTTAGGTTGATTTGGGTTTATGGGAGGAGGTCCCAAGTTCGAATCTTCCTCCACTCATTTGAATTATTTTTAGACGAATTGCAAAAATGGTCCTTATGGTTTACCAAGTGTCACGAATTCAGTCCTTTTATACTTGAAAAGACGAAAATGCCCTTACGAATTCAGTCCCTAACGGCTGAATACTAACGGCGTTAGTAAAAAGGGCCATCCGTGCAAGTTTTTCAAACCACAAGGACCATTTACATCAAAAAAAATTAATAGGGACTTACTTTGTGACTTTTGGCAAACCACGGAACCATTTTTGTAATTTTGTCTATTTATAATTTATGTCTCAACTCTAAAGTCAGTTTTCTTTTCTCTCTTTATCTCCCTTTACTCACATGAAATAAGGACACATGCCATTTTGATCTCCATCCCTTTCAAGCCACATGAAAAACTGTTATATTTAATGTTTTCGTAATAAGAACACATGCCATTTTGATCTCCATCACTAGCTACTTCGTTTGCATTTTAGTGTTTTGTCAGCAGTAATTTGAGCAAGATATGGTCTTTTTGCTGCAAAAGCCAAGAAACTAAATGCCAGAAAAACAAAACAGAACAACCACGTTACGGATAGTATTTATTGTTATGGTTTTTTATTTGCTAGCTAGCTGCTTGGTGGTGTTTTAACATAACTAGCTTTGTGAATTTTTTTCAGTGTGAAGTTGAAATGGGAAGTGAGGTACCATTTTGTCAACCCACTCCAAAAAAGAAACTAAAAACTAAAAATCTTGATCAGAAATACCTATTTCATAAAGAATGGTAGAAAGACCAGAACAACCGGGCCCTCCGGTAAGCCAAAGTATGAGAGGGTCATTTTTCGGGTTTCCTTCAGACTCAATGAAGTAGTAAAATAATTGCACGTCATTGGATTCTCCTACCCCAACATAACTTACAACACATTCATTTCGTGATAAGTTAGTATATAAACTATATTGAACAAAAGATATAATAATAATCATAAACAGTCGACAGAATTCTGTTACAAAGAATGCGACATTACCCGGTTTCGAGTGTGAAAGGAAGATCACCAAGCCAACCTGGCAGTGTCTTAACCATGAACCCAGACTCAATGACCTCCAATGAAACTAATAGAATAAAAACATAAAACAACAAGAAAGGGATGTTGAAGCCGTTAAAGAGGCTCAAAGGTTGAAGGTGAGACTGTGACCGTGGTTTCATGTTGCTTCTAAGAAAAAATATTGTAAACAAGATTGGAACTTAAAAGATTTCTATCTGTTTATGTAGCGGTAAAATCCACATCCCTATTATTATAGATTTTTATCATTTAGCTTTTCATACCAAAGTTAACATGTTGTAAACAAGAAAAAGGTTCTTTGTTACCAAGAAAAATGTTTATGTTTTCTTGTTAGACATTTAATCAACCAAAATCAATTAAAAAATAAAAAACAAAAGACATGTTTATATTGTTGTTTGTTAACCAAAATCTATATATAGGTATTTTGTAAGCAAGATCGAGCTATCAAAATGTGTAATTTGCTTTCTTTCACAACTTACAAAGTAGTGGCCTACCGGCCAAGGCATTGACAGGTGTTCAAGTATTGGGGGTTTCAAAATATTAAATCTTGAGGGAAGGTTTTTGAATACGTTAAAAAGAAAAAAAGAAATATTTTACTTCGTTAGTACAAAAGAAATGTGTGTCGACATAAAAGATATTACAGGATCTGTTTATCTACCACTATTAACCAAAGAACATATAAACAGTAATCTAAAAGATATTCCCACGGAAAGAAGATCAAAAATTAGAATGGTCTACATCGAAACAGTAAAAATTCTAATCAAATCTCAATTTCAAGAAGGAATTAATTCTCTAATAAAAATGGTTTTGATTGATGATAGAATCAATCATCGACAAGATTGTATTCTTGGTGCAGCCAAGGAAAACCTAGCTTACCAAAACTTCATGTTTTCAGTTTATCCTAAATTTGCCTTAGATCTTAAATCAGCAAACTTAAATAAGGTTTTATATTTTATTCATCACTTTGAAAGAAGTGATCGCATGAATCCTAGAGATAAACCCTTCACAATAACCTACCTCATAGGATATGCATTGACAAACAGTCATCATAGCATAGACTATAAAAAAGAAGAATACATAGAACTTGAATATGTATTCTCAGAAATAGGACATGTTAAAGATAAACAATTTTGTGACATAGATCCTCAAGATAGCTTTTAGGCTTTAAACATAGCAAGAAACAAAAAAAGCTTTAGGAGAAAAGCTACCACCTAAAATCTCAATAGATTCTCTTCATATAGGTGAAACCTCCAAATATTTGGAACCTACTCCAAGAGATATACTCAAAAGCATAAGAAGTATGTCTTCTAGGGTTGATAATTTAAATCAAACCATCAGCCAACTTAGCGAAGTAATAAATGAGTAAGATAGACCTTCCTCATATTTACAAAAAGGGTAAATCATTAAGACTAAAAATCTTGATGATCTAACTCAGAAAAAAGAATATGCTTTTTCTTCTTTTGGAAAAGTAGGCGTTCAAACCCTAGCTAACCTTTGTAACAATATAAATCAAATTGTTGCAAGATGATGGTTAAATACACTTAAAATAAATCACTATTTTGGGATTCAAAAAGATATTTCTAAAGATATCTCAAAAAATAATAGACTTTTTAATCAATTTAAGAAAGATTTAAGTCTTGCCCTTCAAAATGGAGGAGAAATTGATAACAATCAGTTTGAAAAAAAATTAATCAGTTAGAAAAAATGAATAACATAATAGAACATAACTCAAAACTACTAGTGACTTTTAATAAAATTTCTAAAAACTTCGATTATCTACTAAAAGAAATTGCCCATAAAGTTGTTCTTACAGACCAAATGAAAGATTTTAATCTTAGATTAAAAGAAGTGCAAAATCAAATGAAACAACTTATGGGATGACAACATCTATGGTTGACATCAAGGAATCACTTAATCAATTAAATGAAAAAGTTGAAGAACTATCAGAAAAGATTGATCAAATGATTAACCAAGGCTTAGTAACTTCAAACCAATTAGAAGCCATCGCTGCTAAAATTATTAATGAAATGCAAAAAGAACTTCAAATGTAGTTAGTGGATGATTTGGTCAGCTGTGACATAAAACACTTGTATTAGATCTTCTCTATGATTCTATAAATAGAAAGTTATGCTTTCATTTATAGGCAGAGTGAAAATACAAGAGCCGTAAGCATTCTATTGAAATCTGCAAATGTGTGAGTAAAACCCCATATAGGGTTTATAGTTTAAAATTGTAAAAACCTTCGGGTTTTAGTTTGTTTATAAATAAGAGAAGTTTTCTTAATCCATCTGTATTTCTAAAGTCTGGAGTCTTATTCGTCATAATGATCTAGTACTAACAAGTACCGCTAGTCAGAAGGACGTAAGGAAGAAGGAATGATCGACACCAAAATTGACGAAGAAATCACAGAGCCTCAAGCACGAGCAAGATATGACAACTATCTTTTAATTTATAACAAAACTATCTCGTTAAAGTTTTTCAATTTAAAAAACTATAAACTCTATAATAAATTAGCTTTTATAAAAAGCAAAAAAAATCTTATAACAACTCAAATGAGTAGTAATAAAGTATTAACTAATCAAGAACCTAATAAGTTCTTGATTTCTCAAATAAAAGATTGCAGAATTGCTATTAAACAACATCAAAGACATTTAAATTATATTAATAATGAAATTTCTTTAATAGATTTAACGCTACAAACGTCTCTACGAAATGATTTTAGAAGGCAAATAAATGCTAAAAGTTCTAGATTTACACACATTCGTGTGTAAAATTCAATAAAAAAATAGTTTTTTGTCTAACAAAAGTTATTTAACTGAGTTAAAAGATAAGCTTTTAACTTAACTTCATCCGCAACCAATTCCTAAGGAACCACGGAGGCGGTTGTTAACCCGTATAGATCTATACAAAAGTTCCTCGTTCCTCGCGGATTAATGGTCATAACACATAGGGTTTTACTAAGTTTTGTGTTCTTTGTCAATGAAGAATACATCTCATATAAGAATACATCTCATATAAGGAATCCCGAGTTCAACAAATCTAACGGGGTGTACGAGCATTTCAGTCCTAAACTTTAGTTAAAAGTTTATTAGACTATTATTTGTTCAAATCGTTAAAAAAATGGTAATCCGAGTCATATAACTTAAGTTTATAAAGTTTACCAGACTTGGCGTTCATAATTTATATAAAATTTTTTGACAGTAAAATCGGGCAGCATAATGGTTGCGTTTTGACCAAAAATCAAATTTCAAACAATGTGAAATCAACCAAAAGTAGAGAAATTAAACATATATAAATATAGCAAATATTATACCGTAAACAAAACTGTTTTTTACAATATTTCGTTCATAACACGAAACAAAACCTCTTTTGTTTATAAATTCACTAAAAACCATATTTTAGTAATCTATAATTTATAAACATAAATCATGTATTTTTTTTTTTTTTTTGAACATATGATCCTTGTATTTAGTCTATTTTATATTTTTCATATAATTAGGACAAAATATATATAAAAAAAACATAAACAAGTGAAGTTATAAAAATATCTATATAACTATGACTAGTTTATGAAATAATATATATATCACATATGATGATGTGGGTAATTTTTGGAGATACATACCCTAATCGACCGGCAATCTCGAAGGCTCACCGGCGGGATCAAACGCCGGTTGCCTAATTGTTGATTTCTGCTTTCTGGTTGTCGATTTTATCTGCTGCGATCTTCTGGTAGGGATCCTTTCCTTGACTGTATATTTCAATTCTTCCTTCTCGTTAGTGCATATGAGTCGTAAAGATACATGGGAATGGAAAATTGCCAATAAAAAAAAGAGTGGGTGGAATGTTGATAACGTCTCTACACCTTTCTTTTTCACTAATTTTCTTGTTGACATGGATAATAAGCAATTGTGGTCCATATGTGAGAAGTATGGGAGGGTTTCAGATGTTTATATTGCCCGGAAATTGTCCAAGGCTGGGAAAAGGTTTGCGTTCGGTAGATTTCTTAGAGTTCAGGATGAGAAAAGACTTGAATTGAAGCTTCAGGACTTATGGATTGGCAGCTCTCATGTTTTTGTCTCCTTGGCAAAGTTTGGAAGGGAGGATAATCGTTTGTATGGGGAGTCACAGGTGCATGGGCCTGCTGTTGGTGGCGGTAGTAATACTACCCAGAGAGCGACTTATGCTAATATTGTGAAGGGTGATGCTGTCAAACAGAATAAAGCTGAAAAATCTATTACTCTTGAGAGTAAGGATATAATTAACAACTTGGCTGTAAAACCATCAGTCTTTTGTCAAATAAGAAGTGTTAGGTTGATCCCAAAGTTATTAGTTTTGTTGAAAGAGGAAGGGTTCCATGATTTACAAATAAAATATTTGGGTGGTGATTGGGTTTATGTGGAGTTTGATTCAGATTTGTTGTGCTCTAAATTTAAGAAGGCCTCCTCTGTTCATGCTTATTTCTCTAATTTCAGGCCGGTGGTTAATGGATTTAAAGTGGTAGAGAGGGTTATTTGGATTGAAATACTTGGATTACCATGTTGTGCATGGAATGATAATGCAGTGAATAAGGTGGCAGGTATTTGGGGTGAAGTGTGTTTCTTGGATGATGATAATCAAGCTCCCTTGGCAACTAAAAGAGCATGTATAAAAACAGCGCAGCCCTCTTTAATTCAGGATAAATTGTCTTTGGTGGTTCAAGGAATTAAGTATGATGTGGTGGTTAGAGAATTGTCAAATTGGGAACCAGATATGCTATGTAATGAAGATGATCTAAGCTGTGATATTCCTTCTTTAGCGAATGATTCGGATAAGGACGTTAATGACTTTGATGATGGTGTAGCTGAAGAAGAAGGAGAAATGACACATAAAGAGTATGGTAATGACAGGGGGCAGGTTTTGTTGATCGCAAAGGCCGATTTTTTCAAACAGACCATTTAAAATCTGATGTTCACAGGAGGAGCTCCAATTCGGTGTCACTAGATGCTCCGATGGGTGGTCCGATTGATGTTAATGATGATCAGAGAGGTCCTGTAAGTTGTTTAATGAATTGCATGCCGTTGAATATATATAGCACTCATTCTTCTCGTAAGAGGAATTGGGTGAAGTCTTTGTGTGTTCAAAATGGTGTGACGTTTTTGGGGTTACAAGAAACTAGAATGACTCAATTGGATCTTTTCAAAGTTAGAAGTATGTGGGGGAATTGTAACTTTGATTTTGCTTTTAGTAGCGCTCGTGGGAGATCCGGGGGTATTTTATCGATTTGGGATCCAAATATATTTAAAAAATTTAGTATTGTTTGTACTAATAATGTGGTTATTGTTCGAGGCATATGGGTCCCTTTTAATATGGAATGTTGTATGGTGAATGTTTATGCTCCTCAAGATATCATAGAGAAAAGATTACTATGGAATTATATCTCTTCCTTTATTACTAGATATGGGGGTAACTATGTAATTTTTGGTGATTTTAATGTGGTTAGAAGTGTTGAGGAGAGGTTTGGGTCAGTTTTTTGTTCTTCTTCTGCTGAGGATTTTAATAATTTTATAGATGATGTGGGGGGTGTGGATGTGCCTATGATTAGGAAGCGATTTACTAGGGTTGACTCTTCTAATGTCAAGCTTAGTAAGTTGGATCGTTTTTTGGTGTCTGAGGATATTTATGACCGGTTCCAGGGTTTACAGGTGGCAGTGTTGGATCGGTTATGGTCTGATCATTGTCTTATTTTGTTGCATGAAGTTAAGGTTGCTTATGGTCCTCCTCCTTTTAGATTTTTTAATTCGTGGATGGAGTTGGATAGGTTTGATGAGATGATACGATCAAGTGTTTCAGAGTTTGTGGTGAATCAAAGCTGGAGTAAATTTGTTGTGTTCAAAAATAAACTCAAGTTTATTAAGAATAGGATTCGGGAGTGGCGTGCTCAGACCAAGGAGATCCGTGTACAACAGAAGAATGATTTGAAGACTCGGTTGCATGATATTGATATTAGCATTGATAGTGGTGATATCTCTACTCAATTATGTAATGAAAGAAAACATGTTCTTGGGTCTTTGGCTTCTATCGAAAGTCAGGAGGTGTCGGATTTGGTTCAAAAAACAAAGGTGAAATGGTCTATTGAAGGTGATGAGAATACTGGTTTTTTTCATGGTATGTTGAAGAAAAGAAGGCGTCAGATGTTAGTTTGTGGGGTGTCAGTGAATGGGGATTGGGTCACGGATCCGATGGCTATAAAAAAAGAATTTTTTGAGTTTTATTCTTCTAAGTTTCAAGCGTTTAATGGTATTCGGATGGCGGAGAGAAGTAATCGGTTATGTTCTATTACATTGGAGAAAGCTTTGAGATTAGAGAGACTTTTTACTGTAGAAGAAATTAAGGAGGCGGTTTGGGATTGTGGTGGGGATAGAGCCCCAGGTCCAGATGGATTCTCTTTTCAGTTTCTTAAACAGTATTGGGATATCTTGGGGGCTGATGTGATTGCTTTTGTTCAGGAATTTTTTTATAAACCAATTATCCCTGTGGGTTGTAATTCTTCGTTCATTACTCTTATCTCCAAGGTTGAGAATCCGTTGTTGGTGAAAGACTTTCGTCCTATTAGCCTTATTGGGATGCAATTCAAAATTATTGCTAAAATTTTAGCAAAACGTTTGGCGGAGGTGCTTCCTGATGTTATTGGTGCGGAACAGTCAGCTTTCCTTAAAGGTCGACAAATTTTAGATGGTTCGCTTATGGTTAGTGAGATGATTTCTTGGGGGAAAAAGAAAAAAAAAAGAAATTCCTTATTTTTAAAGTTGATTTTGAGAAAGCGTATGATTCTGTTAGTTGGGATTATTTGGATCAAATTATGGGATTTATGGGATTTGGTGATAGGTGGCGGTCTTGGATTCATGGTTTATTAAAAAATGCTAGATCCTCGAGTCTTGTTAATGGTAGTCCAACGGAAGAGTTCCAACTTTTGAGAGGTTTACGACAAGGTGATCCAATCTCACCTTTTTTGTTTCTTATTGCCATGGAGGGTTTACATGTAGCTATGGAGGACGCGATTGATTCTGGAAATTTTCATGGGGTTAAGATTGACGAGGCTAATCTAGAGATTTCTCATCTTTTTTATGCTGATGATGCTTTGTTTTTGGGTAAGTGGGAGGAGGGCAATATTCGAAATCTTATCACCATTCTCCGCTGTTTTTTTATGGTTTCGGGTTTAAAGATTAATCTCTTTAAATCTAGTTTGTTGGGTGTTGGTGTTAATCAGTCTATAGTTACTTCTCTTGCTTCTATTACGGGATGTGCTGCAGCTAAGTTTCCGTTTTCTTACCTTGGAATCCCGGTGGGTGGTAATATGAGTCGGGTTAAAAGCTGGGATGTGATTGTTGATAGGTTTCGCAAGAGACTTTCTAATTGGAAAGTTAAAATGTTTTCCATAGGTGGCTGATTAACTCTGATTAAGTCTGTTTTGGGGAGTCTTGGGATATATTATTTTTCTTTGTTTCGTATGCCGGTCACTATATGTCATTTATTGGAGTCTCTTAGGGCTCGTTTTTTTTGGGGGTTGGAGGAAGGTCAAAGACGTATTCATTGGGTCAAATGGGATATTATTCTTAACTCTAGGGATAATGGTGGCTTACAGGTTGGTAGTTTGGATGCGTTTAATCGGGCTCTTCTTCTTAAATGGAAGTGGCGGTTCCTTCATGAGACCTCGTCCTTATGGGTGAAGCTTATTAAAGGGTTGCATGGTGAGTCTGGGGCTTTAGCTTATAATACGCGTTCTTTAGGAGGTATGGGAGTTTGGAAGAGAATTGTGGATTGTATTAAGAAGATGGAAAGTCAAGATGTCTTAACTCCTGAATCAATTTCGATTGTTGTTGGTGATGGGTCAGTGGCTCGGTTTTGGGAAGATGTTTGGTGTGGAGGTGTGTTATTTAAAACCCAATTCCCTAGGCTGTACTCGTTATCTTTGATGAAAGATGGGTTGGTCGCGTATTTCTGGACTTCTAGTGGGTGGAACTTCTTTTGGAGACGTCACATTAGAGGTGGAATTGAAGCTGAACAGTTTCAGAGTCTTATGCAGATTTTGACTCCTATTCAGCTGTCTTCTACTCCCGACAGGTGGTCCTGGAGTCTCGATCCAAGTGGGGTGTTTTCTGTTAACTCCATGAGAAGACATATTGATTCGCTTTCCCTTCCGGTGAGTGGAGTGGGGACTAGATGGAATCGGAGTGTTCCAATTAAAGTTAATATTTTTTTTGTGGAGGTTGAGATTAAATAGAATCCCAGTTCGATCGGTTTTAGTCGATAGAGGCGTAGAGTTGGATTCTATTTTATGCCCAGTTTGTCAGTCTGACGAAGAAAGTACTTCTCATCTGTTTTTTCAGTATGAGGTGGCTAGTCAGCTTTGGAGGAGACTTGGGATTTGGCTTGATATTACGTTTCCTATGGATCCTGGTGTTACAGAGATGCTTGATTGGATTGATACGTCGTTGGGTATTCGTAGGAAACGTTCTATCTTGGAGGCGGTTTGCATGGTGACTCTATGGGTTATTTGGTCTTATAGGAATGGTGTCATTTTCAGTCCTAATAAGTTTAAAAAGAGTCTTTTGTATGATACTATTGTTGATTTCTCTTTTCGGTGGTTTTCGCATAGGAACGCTAAAGCTCGTGTTAGTTGGATTGATTGGATACGCAATCCTCTAATGCCTTAACTTGTTTTTGTATGTTTTTGCTAGCTCCTAGCTAGCTTTTTTTTATTGAATTTTGTTGTTGTTCAAAAATATATATATATATATATATATATATATATATATATATATATATATACATATACTATAACCATTTTATATAATAAAATGACATAACAACTATGGAAGAACCCCGCTTTGCGGGGTTGGAAACGCCAAAGAATTGGAAATAACAAAAAAAAAATTATTGAGTTATAAATGTTAACCATTTTATTGTCCAAATGCCCATAATCAGAACTTTTAGCAAAATACTTTTGCTCCTTTCACCTTGAGATCCGCAAGGGGTGGGGGTTGGGGAATTGCGTAGCTACGAAAGTGTGTGAAAACCCAAAAGTGTAGGGACAAAACATGACAATATATTGTGAGAGCAGGCGGGGTGTGTAATCTGCAAATTTTTTTGTTAAGTAAGGACTATTTTTATAATATTTAAACACATGGATTGTTTCTGTAAATAATGGAGACAATTTTTGTAATTTATTTTCTATACAAGGGTAAAACATGCCAACAGACGAAAATATTAAAACATATGACTATTTTTTGTAAAAAAAAAAAAAAAAAAAAAAAAAAAAAAAAAAAAGAATGAACTTCAATGACCTTTTCTATACAAAATTACAGGGACTAAATTTGTTAAAAGCCAAAACCTTTGTAGCAAAACTTTAAAAATGAATAGTGAACAGTACTCTGTTTCAATTGGTGGATTTTTTTTTTTTTTTTTTTTTTTTTTTTTATTTGAACAGTGGAGGAATTTTTTTTGTTCGGTGTTAATCTGTCTCACCGCCATTGTAACCAATAAAAATGGGATTAGCGAGCTCTCCACCGCTTCATTCATTGGAAGTATACGAAACCCACTTGACCTTCCCACCCCTTTTTTTCCGTTCTCATTCCTGCAAGTTCTGGAATGTTTCTACCGACTCCCCGATCCTCCATTGACACTCCATTCTACCTTCTTTCGATCATGGTTTCAATGATAACTGATGGTGAACGAAGCACGACACTCCGGTGAATGAACGGTCGTCACCCTCTGTTTTTGCTATCTGCTGTGCTTTATCGCCGTTCTCCCCAATCTCACTACCGATTTAGGATTCAACATCTACAACATCGTAAATTTGGGATTTGCAGATTTTTCGAATTTCGTTGGCCCTCTTTCTTCAACGAATTCATGTATGTGTTTAAATATTCAAATTGTGTAATTGTTTTTTGGATGACATTTGATTTTTAATCGGGCCTCACTTTTCTGATTTCATAGCTAATCCTTCTTCTCCGCATCCACATAGATCACAAAAAGGAAAGGATGGATAAATCATGGAATCAAGGGTTCTGAATCCATTCCTGGTAATATGTATCGAATGGCATTAATGGCTTTAATTGATGGCGATCTTCCTGGTATCAACAGGGAAAGGTTCAATCAACGGAGAGGCGGTGATGGATAGCAGAAAACGACCACGTAGATGGCAGAGGGACAGTTGATTACACGTGTAATCCAATATACAATATAAAAATGGATAAATAACAAAAAACAAAGCAGAAAAGAAAAAAAAAAAAAAAAAAAAAACAGCCAATCACAGGCAGGAACTATTCACTAAAGTATCTCAGGATTAATATTTATATAAATAACTGGTGATCCCGTGGGGAACTACCGGTCATCTCTTTTTTTTTTCTTATTTTTTTTTAAATCTATGTATACATATTACTCTTTTTGACAAAGTTAAGCAAAAAGTAAATAACTTGACATAAGATAATGTACAATGAGTTAATAAACAAATGTACAAAATTAGGTTGATATTTCTTGCGTTCAGCCTTATAAAAACTTCTTACCAGTAGTATCCCCATGTTATTTTTTGTCCTACTCAAGAAAAAAAAAATGAACCAATGTTGGAAGTGGTGGTGGCTGAGGATTCGGTGTATTGCTGCTAAGCCTGGTTGTTGAGGAATTGGAACCACAACTTGGTTCTATTGCTGGTGTTGTAGCTGTTTCCTTGACCTAAAATAAAATAATAACAAAAAAAAAAAATCAAACATTCCTAATAACAGATTTTCAGCTTCAATAAAAACAGAAAAATATGTGTTGTTTGAATATTGATAAAAATAGAAAAATATGTGTTGTTTGATTATTGATTAGTTACCATCAAAGTTGATACAGTTGAGCAAAATTTCATCAGCTCCCAATTCGTCAACAATTTTGTCAAAGCTCATATGCTCCAATCTCTTCCAAAACTGGTAAAACTGAAAAGTATGTGCAGTTCAACAATACTAACAATGCACTGCTACCATGCATACTTAATACTTTATCTTAGACGCCTGCAGTCATCCTACAGTTTCAAAACCAAAAATATGACCAACTCAAAAGTTACCATTAATTCTACAAAAAATATAAATTTATAACAAAAGAAACATCAAGAAATCCATCATTAAAAAGATTCACATTTCACACACCTGATCACTTATAAGACTTACAACTACAGTTTGGGAACTTCCTCTTGTAATGTCATATCCTACTGCTTCACTGTCTGTAACCTAAGCACAGCACAGGTGGTGCAAATGATGAACTTTAAAAAATAGCCTCATCATGAGTAGCCTTTATCTTCTCCTCCCTTCTTGCCTTCATGATTTCCAGAATACAAAGTTAAGACATAAAAACAGAAATTTAAACATTTATTTTGCTTAAAATTTTTACAATTTTAAGGTAACATAGTGAAAACTCAACAATGTCAAAATCCACATCGATAATCAAGTTCAAATTAAGCTCTCCACATGTATCCTTTCGCAGAACAAAAGCTAATCTGGAAAGAAAAATCAGATGAGGGTTATGATTAAATAAACAGAATTTTAGAATTAAATCATACGTCTTGTCATGGATAGGGGAAAATTGAAGGATAGCTTCACTTAGGCATTTCACCAAACATCTAATATGCACCTACTCGATTTCTATCGGATCATACACATAATCCTAGAGTTAACCCATTCAAAACACAATGTATTCCTAACATCATCTATAATCAGAATAAAAAGGTGAAATGGGTTGAAAGGAGGTAATGGGTGAGGTCTTCTAAGCAACAGGGGGAACATCACATCATCTTCATGAAGTGCTCATATGAGGCTATAAATTGATGTGACATGAATAAATTTCTTGACTTCTCCCGATTGTTGGACCTTTATTACATGGCTGATTTTTCATTTTGAAATAAATATTTAGCTTCATTGGTATGCAGGTGCACGATTATATAGGTGAAACGAAATAAAATCTGGAAGGACGAATATCAAGAAAGAAATCACTTTCACAAGAGGAGATAAAAGATGGTTATGTAGCTTACCTTGTATTTGATTTTGGGGATGCCAACCCGCAATCACCATGAAGATCAACAGGTGACTAAAAAAAGTTAAATTTTTGCATCTTTTTGCACAAGAACACGGACAGTAACAATATTACCACCAGCAGAATTGCTGCCAGTGCCCTAAAACAAAATCAAGAGCTATGAAAGAGTTCTTCATGGGATTTAGTTGAAGAGGTAAAATGGACTAAATTCTTATCCCAAAACAGATGGAAGTTAACCACTTCACCTTTGTAAAAAGAAATTGATACTTGATGATGAATTTGTAACAAAATTGAAGACAGTAGCTACCTTAAACAATCTGTATTGGAGTGGAGATACAACAAAAGAAGATGCAATAACAATGCAAGCGATCCAGACTTTAAATTATGTCATAAATGAAAATTTTTTAATATTGAAAGATGAATGGATCGGATTTCCTTATGTCTGTATTGGTGTTATAGCAACAGAATATGGGAATGTAAACGTAAAAAAATTACAACCCAAATCAAAGTGTTTCCGAAGAGTCGTTAGTAATTACACTCCATAACCACAAAACAGTAATCTGGGCAGATCCAAGACACAATATCTTTCAGAATTTAATTATAGATATTCAAACCATCGAATGTTCTCTCCGGTGCAGCCACAATCGGCGATGAGGAGGTGTGGTCGATGAATCGGAGCACCAGTCGACCACTTCAACCTTTGTAGTATTAAAAAAATCAACAACCGAAAATTCAAAGAATCAAGAACTCAATCAGAAAAGAAAAGTACTCATTTAGAGAGAGAAAGTATTGAGTGAAATGTTTTATCTTATTCCACTATGAATTGCATACATGAATATATACAGTGTAAAAACAACGAAGCTTCTAATGATCTAAACATACAGCTATCTATTTACAAATGAATCCCTGATGTATTCTATTTTTTACAATTGAACCCCTCAACTAATGTTGATATCCTCCCGTCAAGATGAACTTTGATGAATATCATCAAGGTTCATCTTGGATAAAAGAAACTGAAATTGAGGACCACATAGACCTTTCGTGAATAGATCAGCCAATTATTGTCTCGTTGGTATATGTTGTGGGTGAACAAATCCAACCTTATATTGATCTCTTACCAAATGACAATCTATGTCTAAGTGCTTTGTCCTCTCATGGAAAACTGGATTTTCTGTGATGTGAATAGCAGATTTGTTGTCACATAATAATGCCACCGGTATTTTTAATTTCACTTTTAAATATCGTAATATGTAGCTAATCCACATTAATTCACACACTGTAGCAGCTAAGCTTCTATACTCAGCTTCACATGATGACTTCGATACCGTCTTCTGTTTCTTTGTGTTCCATGATACTAATGATGAACCTAAGAAGATACAATAACCTGTAAGTGATCTTCTGGTATCCGTACAACTTGCCCAGTCAGAATCACTATATGCAGTGATTGAAATGGGTGATGACTCCTTACTAAAAAATAAACCTTTTGATGGGTATCCTTTGAGATACTTCAACACATAGAGTGCAGCCTTCCAATGAATTTCAGTGGGACAATGTAAGAATTGACTTAGTTGTTGTACAACATAACTAATGTCAGGTCTTGTGAAATTCAAGTATAGTAGTCTTCCAACCAACCTTCTGTACTTTTCCACGATCATTCAAAGGTTTTCCTTTATCATTGCATAGTTGAACATTCTTCATTACAGGGGTATTAGTTGGTTTAACTCCTGCAAGACCTGCATCTTCAAGAATATCCATAACATACTTCCTTTGATTAACATACAGTCCTTTATCTGTTTTGAGCAATTCAACTCCCAAGAAGTAACTTGCTTGGCCCAAATCCTTAATAGTAAAAGCTTTATGTAGCTTGGATTTTACTTCCTTTATCAAACCTTCATTTGGTCCTGTGATTAGAACTGTTGGATTAGTGTCTAAGCCCGTAACTATATTTGGTAAGTATTCGACCCGGTTGTGCATGGTCCTTTTGGGTTGTCTTCACCATAGCAACTTGACAGGGTAATTTATGAAGAGAGAATATATTATGATTTATTAATATATTATGAGAATAATATATTAAAGGAATAATCATATTATTTAATTACTATTAGTCATAAATTAATTGAGAATTAATTTGGTGACTAAAAGAGATTAATTGAATAAAGGGGCTTAAACTATCAAATGTGTGATAGTTGCATTTTGGGCTAGGAAACCTTTATGGATAAGGGGTGGACGAAATTATGGGTAGGAACCCATCTAGATTTCGTCCAAGGCCTTATTCCAGAAGGTTCCATGGGCTGCTTGGTGATTAAGTTGTCCATTAGGGTTTTGACTGAAACCCTAACTGCTTACAGTATAAATAGGGCCCTTGGGATATGATTTCCGGCCACTTGTTCTCCTGGAAACCCTAGAGCCGAAAATCATAAGTCCTTACCCTCTCTCATATTGCCCTCTTGCCAATTGGTGTTTGTAAGTCATTAGAGAAGTGACACTTGTGACTCTAAGCTCCAAGAACAAGAAGATTCAAGCAAGCAACAAGAGGTAACCATCTAGATCTGATTTGTCACATTAATTTCGAATTATACTCAATAGATCTAGGGTTTGAAAGTCTTGGATGAATGCATGTACAATTAGAGAAACCTAGATCCAAGCATTAGGGTTTGCATGTGCACATAGGAAAGTTCTTATGGCTCAAACCCATCAAGAACATCATCAACGTAAACTACTAATGCCATAAATGTGTTTCCTTCTCCTTTAGTAAAAAGACAATGATCATGATATGATTGTTTAAAACCAAAACTCAACAATTTGTTGCGCGCAAAATTCTATATGCCACTGTCTGCTTGCCTGTTTCAACCCATACAACGATTTGTTCAACTTACAAACTTCACCTTTTTTAGCTTTAAAGTAACCTTGTGGAGGAGTTAAATAGACTTCCTCATCTAGATAACCATGCAAAAAGGCGTTGTTAATATCCAACTGATGTAGGAACCAATCTTGTGAAGTAGATAAAGAGAGTAATAAACGAACAGTAACAGTTTTAGCCACAGGTGAAAAACTATCCAAATAATCAATACCATATGTTTGATTATAGCCCTTTGCCACCAATCGAGCTTTGAAACGTTATATAGTCCCATCTGACTTTAATTTCACTTTATAAACCCATTTTGAGCCAATAGCTTTCTTATTTTCTGGTAAGGGCATAATGGTCCAAGTGTCATTTTCTTCTAAAGCCTTCAATTCTTTCTGCATTGCTTCAACCCATTGTGGATTTTCACATGCTTCTGAATAAGATTTGGGTTCTGACACTTTTGAAACTGAACAAAGAAAAGCTTTATGTGTAGAAGTGAGTACAGGAGATTCAATATATGGGTATGTAGGTGGAAAATGGGGTGAGTTTAACACCTTTTTGTTTGATGAATGAGGAGGTTGACTTTAACTGCAATGCATCACAAATCATTATACCAAGAAGGCTTCTTAGTGACTCTAGTGCTTCCTCTGATTGGAGATGTATTTTGAGGATTAGCAAGTGGTACATCTTGAATTGGAGCATCTGGTATAACTTCTTCTTCTACTGGCATATCATTGAAGGAAGAATTTTCTTCTTGATCATAAACATCAAAGTTATCTGAATTATATGATTTAGATGGTATAAATTCTTGATGATTTACTTCAAATGGATGATCTTCAATGTTCACCAAATTTGGAATCATGACTTGATCATTAAAAGAGGTTGTTTTTATGGATTTGAAAGGAAACTTTTCTTCATAAAACACAACATCTATTGACATTATAATTCTTTTCTCATTGAGATCGTATAGTTTATAAGCCTTTTGTCCTGGATTATACCCAATGAAACAACATATAGTAGTTCTTGAATCAAATTTAGTCTTGTATGGCAGAATATTAGCAGCAAAGCACAAGCATCCAAAGACTTTGATATTTGAATAATTTGGATCTTTCTTGTAAAGGTGTTTAAAAGGAGTTTCCCACTTTAAGAGAGGTGTAGGAAGAAGATTGATAATATGTGTAGACATCAAAATAGCATGACCCAAAAATTTAATTGGTAATCCAGATTGTGAAAGTAAGGCACGTGCTATCTGTAAAAGTTGTTGATGTTTTCTTTCTACTCTTCCATTTTGTTGGGAGAGTATGCAACTGTCTTCTGATGTATTATTCCAGAAGTCGAAAAAAGATTTTGACACTTGTTGTTTACAAATTCACTTCCATTGTCTGTTTTGATGTTCTTAACACATGTTTGAAACTGAGTTTTAACATATGCAATAAAATTCGAAATAGTTTGAAAGACTTGAGTTTTATCAGCTAAGAGAAAACTCCACATTGCCCTTGAATGATCATCAATGATTGTAAGGAAGTATGATGCACCAGTAATTGTTTTTGATTTATAAGGTCCCCATAAATCAACATGGATTAATTGAAAGATAGTATCAGCATGTGAATCACTATTCTCAAATGGAGATCTCTTGTGTTTACCTTCATGACAAGGAATACAAGGCATCAATTCATTCTCTTTAATTGGAGGAATGAAAGAAATATGCTTCAATACAGACTGAGATGAATGTCCTAATCTTTGATGCCACAAAGAAAAAGAACTATTATTCAAATCTCTAACAGCATTACACATTTGTTTGTCACTTTTCTTACATGAATTGGCTAAATGGTCAAACAAGCTGTTATTATTTAGTACATAAAGATTTCCAACTATCTTCCCATGAGCCACGACCTTAGAAGTTTCCAGGTCCTGCAAGATACAGAATGTAGGATAAAAACTGAAGATGATTTGAGCAGAGATAGCCAAAGATTTTACTGATAATAGATTGCATTTGAACTCAGGCACATGTAAAACATTCTTGAGAATTAATCTTGAGTTTAATTCTATAACTCCTGTATGAGTTACAGACTTGATAGAACCATCAGGTAAGAAGATAGGGGTATATCTGTCAACAGGCTTTAAACTTTTCATATAAGATGTATTGGAACACATGTGAGCAGTAGCTCCAGTGTCCAATATCCATACATCTTTATCAAATTGATTGCTCTTTAATGAGTTTAATAAAGAGATGTTCATACCTGCAAAGTCTCCAAGATGAGAGAAATTTGCAGAATGTAGATCAATCTTTTGATTCATCTTCATAAATTGGTTGAATTGTTGAAATAAAGCATTCATGGAATCATTGTTTTCGAGATTGGAAGAAGAAGAGGGTTCTTGGAACAAAGGATTGTCTTCTTGTTGATTTATATTCACCATATTTACAGAATTGAAGTTATTTTTCTTCTTGTCTTTATATTCCTTATACCAATCAGGATAGCCATTCAATTTGAAACAAACATCTCTGCTATGACCATTCTGATGGGTTTTATACAAACAATCCTATGTGTGCATGCAACCTTAATTAGATCTATGTTTTCACTATTAGACATACAACTTTATGAACACAAAAGGAAACCTAGAATGCATCTACTATTTTCGAAATTGACATAGGAGAATAGAATACATACCTTTTGTTGATATATAGTAATAACAACTAATTCCTTGAGGCTAGCTAGGGTTTTAAGGTGGAAACCCTAATCCCTTAGCTTAGGGCCTAAGCAAGTCCATGGACTCCTTTCCTTAATCGCTTGGACGAAAACTCCTAGATCCTTCTAGGATTTTCATTCGAGCCTTAATAAAGGTGATCCAATAGCCCAAAGTCTCAACTATCAAATAATTACAAAACAGCCCTTGTACTTTTAATTAATTCCTTTAATCCCGAAATTAATTCCTAATTAATTTCTGATTAAATACTAATTAATATTATGATTCCAAATTAATATATTATTCATATAATATATTAACAAATCATATTTATACCCCAATTTATTATTCTTAACAATAAACCAGCCTCTCTCCTCAACAGTCATCCTGTCTAGTCACCTATGTGAAGGCAACCCAAAAGGACCATGCTCACAATCGGGTCAAGTACATACCAAAATAGCCATTGCAAGGAAATATAAATAAGACAAAATCAAAATTTATTTTATTGCGGAAAAAATATATCCTTACAATGCAAATGAAAACTATGTTATTACATATTCCTAAGCAAATTATCATAACTCTAAGCAGCAGCTCAAAAATCCGATCATCGAATCCATGCGATCGTAATCCATTTCTTCGCGATCAAACTCAGCTCGTTCCTTCCTTTAAGCTTCCTTTCTTTTCTTCGATCCTTCAAAACATCAAATGCAATCTTATCACATCATGTATTAAGAATCTCCAAATAGGAACTTAATGGAGTTAGATAATGGAATTTACCTGAAGCAGAGTCATACATCTTGACTCTCCCATCTCTTAGATCTCTCAGGTAGTCAGGGCAGCTTCGTAACCAATGCCCCTTCTTTTGGCAGTAGAAAGATATGGACTCTTTTGGAATGGCACACGGGACTATCTCAGACTCAGCCTTTCTCTTACGTAGAGAAGACTTTTCTGGACTTCCAATGTTGCCATTGCCCGTAGAAGGTTGGGATATTGATTTATCAGACCAATTTGCTCGACCAGTGCGCCAAATCATTTATGATTCAGCAGCAATAAGCAAATAAGTCAAATCAATAAGGGTCATGTCGTGGTCCATCATATAGTACTCTCTAACGAACTTACCATATGATTCGGGAAGTGATTGAAGAACCAAGTCAACAACCAACTTCCTTGAGACATCGACACCCAACATCCTTAACCTGTCAATGTGTGACTTCATCTTTAAGACGTGTGCACACACAGACTTTCCATCTTTGTGTCTTATTGCCAATAGAGCTTGAGTGACCTTGAACTTTTCAAATCTTTGAACACGCGGGTCAGGGAGAATTATTGGAGGAGGTGGAGGAAGTGAAGCATGAATTCTATTTCCACAATCCAATCGTGGAACATCATCTTCACATGGAAAACTTTTTCCAACGGATTCAGGAAGACCATAGTTTTCAGACTTTGACATCTATAAAATGGGAGAAAATTCAAGTTAGTTGATTGAGTCCTTAATAAAACACCCAAATGAGATATTAAGGCTAGGACCCATCACAATATTCTACAAACTGGAAGAGGGATGCCGTAATCCAATTTGCATAATATTTGAAGGTAGGTAAATGAAGATTTACCAATTTCCACCATGAAAAACGAAAAAGAAGGTTAAGTTTTAAATGTATTGGAAACTCCTAGATCTTTTGAGACTCATTGAACTTTTCAATGGCATGTTTAAATCTCGATATGCCCCTCGATTTGTGATTGGGATGCCGAGGATCACAAAACAGGGTGTGAATAACCATGCAAATATACATGGTGCCCCCAATGTTACAGTCACCTATTCGATGTGCCAGTTAACCACACACGCTCCACCGAACTATGACAAACATCGAGTCACCCTTTGCCACCTTTGATTAGAACCCAATTAGTGTGCCGGTTAACCACACACACTCCACTAACACCTTAGAAAGGGTACAAAGTGTAATTTCATGGAATTGCATCAAATTCACTTTTGCCTAAAGTAACTAAGATTGGAAATTTAATAAAAGCATTTAGTTACTTTATTAATCATTATACTTTTAATGAGGAATTAGTTGCCCCATCCTACCCGTTCGGCTAACGACCCTCCACCAATCAAGGAAGCGGTGGGTGAGAGTGGACACCCATTAAACGGCCATTTTATAGGCCATAACCTTATACCCCCGTTATAGATCGGCTTCGTGAATGAGGTCTACTAACGGTAAGACTAGCTTAATATTATACATACATATATATATATATATATATATATATATATATATATATATATATATAATTATTAATCTTATAATATTATAATAGTATAAGAGTGTCTTTTAAACATTTCAAAATACTAGGGTTTTAATCATATTTAAAAAATTTTCGAAAATTAAAACCTTTTAATTTTAAAATCTTAAATATTAAAACTTTGATTTAATAATTATCTCATTTAAACAATTAATTTAAATTATTAAATCTTGGAGGATGATCTATTAAATTAAACAATTAATTTTAACCTAATCCCTTTATCCCCTAAAATTCGAAAATTTGGGATGGGATAATTCAAAAGATCTTTAATTATCTATTTAAACAATTAAGGGATAATTACAAGATATGACATTATCCAAATCCCTAAAATTTGGGAATCTTATCATGGGGACAAGACAAATTTCGAAATCCTAGGGTTAGACAACCCTAATTTCGAAATCTTGGTGGCTAAGGAAAGGGTTTGGGAAACCCTAATACAATTCGAAAACTAGGGTTTTGTAACCCTAATTTCGAAAATCCAAGTCCTAGGGTTTATTAGCCATAAACCCTAATTTGTCAAATTCATACATTTGTATCAAATCTAATTGAAAACAAAACCAAAGGCTCTGATACCACTGATGGGTTTTATACAAACAATCCTATGTGTGCATGCAACCCTAATTGGATCTATGTTTTCACTATTAGACATACAACTTTATGAACACAAAAGGAAACCTAGCATGCATCTACTATTTTCGAAATTGACATAGGAGAATAAAATACATACCTTTTGTTGATATATAGTAATAACAACTAATTCCTTGAGTTTCCTTAGCTCTTGAAAGCAAGTACCACAAGTGTAGTACCTCTAATGGCTCACAAACACACTTTGAGTGAGAGGATGAATATGAGAGAGAGGAGGAAGGGTACTAAGCT